TCGGGGACGACGTTTTTATTTCTCCAGGAACAAGCAGCGTTTTTCCTCCTCATCATCTTTCGCCAACAAAACTGCTGGCAAAAGAGACACCGTGCGTTCCTCGGACGCCGTCCGCATAAATCACGCCGTGAATTCCATTTTGTTTATTTGCGAGAGGGAGCAAGGCCACCATTTGGCTGTGCAATAAATTATCCCCCTGCGAGTACGTGCCTCGCTAACCTGTTACGCAAAAACTGTTGAAAGAATTGTTATTATTTTTTTTCTCTCCGAGAAAGAAGCAAAACAAAGCAAGTGGCAACAGATGCAAAAAGCAATTGTCCGGGTTGTTTTGAGCTTGTGCGTGCAACTTTTTGTAATTATCCGCGCAACGCCAGGATTTTTTTCGAGTTCAAACGGCACATATGAGAGGGCGCATTATTAAAATGGAAGAGGCCCTCGGCAACCGGCAGCCTTTTCGAGTAATCCTGCACTCTTCTGTGAGAAAATGAGTGAACTTTTTTAATCCTTTGATCTTCCAACAGCCGTTTTAAGTCATTGCAAAATTTTCCTCATTAATATCGTACTTTTATATGGTTTTTTGTTCACTTACTTTTTATGAAATTAATTCAAGTATAGAATTTTTGCTAAATTTCCCAACGATTAGAAAATTGATTTCTTTGCTTGTAAAACTTATATTGTCTGACTTCAGATTCTTTGTTTATCATAAAGAAAAGAACAAAGAAAAACTCATCCATCAAAAAGATTGCTTCTGCGGCAGACAGAATGCACTTAAAAATATTACGATACGTTAAACCTTTTCAGGAGATCATTTATTTCACTGTTCAGAGAGCAAAATTACACTCATTAACACGAATTTTCAACTCTCGCTAATAGTGAGGGTTACTGTGTGTGTGACCTCTCACCTCACACAGGTGCAAACGAGCCAACTTTGCCACTTGACGTTGCGTCTAAACTTTGTTGCTCCCTGCGTGCCGAGCCCTGTGAAGCGACCCACTCGTAAAGTGCGAATGTTCGAGCCACAGCGATGGAATTTATATGAGGATTTTCTCCCTAACAAAACCACTGATTATCTCATTCATGAATGCTCTCTCTGTGTGATTTGCTTTAATCCTATTCCTTAGCATTTTGTTTCGCTAATCAGTAGCAAAGTGGTCTTTTCCATATTCGCGTCCATGCATGACGCAGCAAATAAAACATATGAAATGATAGAGATGTGAGGATTAGTTTATTAGAGCAGGAGGCTTTGGTGAAAAAGAGGATTATTTTATTGCTACAACGATTTGTTTGCATGAACGCATGATGTTTTAATAAGTTGCTAACGAGAGCAAATTATTCAAAATGCCACAAAATGCAAACTACCATAATATTTGGATTTTGTGGTGCATGCAATAATTTATTGATATAATTTCATATAAAAATATCTACAAAAGCATAATTAATTCCATAAAAATCAGAATGGGCGTAGCATGGTCTGTAATTAATGTTGAATGACATATTTTTTATCATTAGGTAATTAATTAATTTGTGTAGAATTAAAAGAGAGGGTAAAAAAATTGTTTCGCCTGCAAAAAATTTAAATTAATATTTCTGTTTTAATTAGATTAAGTTATATTAAGATATGAAAGGTAGATCCGCTATTTAGATTGAAATAATTTTCTGCTCTGTAAGTGATAAGAGCAGTTTGATTATCAGGGATGTGAGGTATGGGAATAAAGAGCTTATGTTCGATGAAAAAAGAACAAAATGTTAATTTTCATATAATGAAATGAGATGAAGGATTATATTAAAATAACAAATACAAAATAAAATTAATTAATAAAAAAGTAAAACAAATATTTTAAGTATACAATATAATAAAACACATCATACATAATTTAGTCATTATAATTGCAGATTAGAAAATTATAGTAAGCAAAAATAAAAATAAAAATGCGCTTTTATTATAATAAAAATTATGTCATTTTGTTTTTCAACAGCTCTGAGCTCGAGCCAATTACATACGCGCACACCACGCCGACAGTGCATGCAAATAGAAGGTAATTTGCCAAAATCCGGCTGACAAGCCATTAGACAAATTTGTCGCCTTCCGCCGCCCACTGCACGCCAAAAAGCGAAAGCCGAGTGACAGTCGCAGAAAAATAGCGAGCGGACCATTTTGTAACCGACTTTTGCTACTTTCCCTGCCAACTAAGCAAATTAAAACGAGCGGTTTTTACAGTCGCTGGACCGCAGTCAATTTCTGTTTTATTCGCTGCGACGTGGGTATTAATTTTTGCCGCGTTCGAAATCGATTTTCACATCGCCCAGTCCTTTATTTATGTAATACGAGGGCCATTGTGCGATGCGCTTTATGTGTGGCACAAGAAATTTATGGCAATGTGTGTGCGAAAGTGGGGAGAGCTCGCAACTTTCTTTCATTCTGCTTCTGCTGTCGTTCTTCATTTTTCCTCGAGAGCTTTATTGTATCGCCCAAGTGGAGCTTTCACGGCAATATGGTGGGTGCGGCGAGATACGTTCGTCTTTGCATGAATCCCCGTCGCCGCCCCGCCTAGACTCTCCCTTTTAACAAACAAGAAATTTACATCGTTTGACCTTTAAGTAATGGCCCTGAACTTCCGAAGAACGAGTGTGCAAACGTGCACCCCCGAATATTTCACCCTCGAGTGCCAAAATTTGGGACATAAATCTTGCCTCAATCCGGTAGGCTGGGATATCAAGAAACAATGATTCCTTTCTTATAGTTTGCTCACAGCTAAATTTATGTTCCTTCCTATCAGAAAAAGGGTAAATTGGAAAGAACAGAAGAGATTTTGAAAAATTTGAACGGATTTATTAAATTTGTTTTCGTTTTCTGCTCGATTATTAAGTAAATTGGTTACTTAGATTTGGAGGATATTATTTTGATGGGCAGAGCAAAATCTTAATTCAGTGAAATATATGTAAAATAAATAGAAGAAAATTTTATGAAAGCTTTATAAAAGGTATAAAAGTACAAAAATAAATTTAAAAATAAAATCTTGGTTTAGGAAAATGAGACGCTGTTTGGACTGATAAAAATGTTAATAAATAAAACACAACATTATTAAATAAAAATTAAAAAGTTCATTTAAATAAAAATAAATAAGTGATTACATAAAAAAAGCAATGAAAAAGCAAAATTTTAACTAATGAAATTTATTTATGAAATGTAAATACACATTTCATTAACTTTTTGAAAAGGATTTATAAAATAAACCGTTTTTGATGTGACATTCTGAATTAAATCCAATAAAGTCTACAATTTTTAGAATTTATAAGTGAAAATTGAAGCAAAATTTGCTCGTTGTATTTGACTGGCCACGATCAAAGTGGTTATTTGCTGACCAACTCAGACCAACTCTCTTCTTTCTTTGACAATATTTTATCCTGCGCGCTTTCACCGGCGGAACAGCCGACACCAAAAATCCAATTTCGCGCGTCCCAAACGCAGGCAAATTTGCTGACAGCCGGAAAAACCGACCAATTGCCGTCGGCACCTTTCCCTGTTGAGTGATTTGTGGCGCGCAATAAAGGCCCGCTGAGGTGAGAGCACGGCCGGCGTCCAATATCGCCACGCGTGGTGATAAATGCGAGCGGCGATTGACCTCGCTCACTGCATAAACGCTTCGCCCAACCCCGGTGACATTTAATTTGGCCACGTGCTTTGTTTCGCAGCAGCAGCATCCGTCCGATCGTCGCGTGTTATTCTTCATTAAGGCATACCACGTCCTCGGCCCAAACCGCACAATGAAGGCCTAGGAATGCGCCTCTGCAATTCAGTCAAGCCTACACACGGATGCTCCTTGAAACCGCACCCCGAGGCGCATAGAAAGGGTTGCATATTCAACGAGATGCGCAACCCCAATCTCACTAATTGCCAATTAAAATTGACCGCAATGAAAATAAAACGCAAGTTGTGGACGTAAACATCAATTTCTGATAATATTTCCAGCCTGTCAGTCGCAAAACTGCTTGTTAGTTGTTCGAAACTATCAGTTTATATCGTAGAGTGAGTTCTGAGGTAACTGCAATATAAATTAATTTTACGGTGGTTTTCATTTGCAAGCTTCTGTGGGTTTATAAAGCAGATAAAATTTAGGCCCGAAAGTGGAACAAACACAAATTTAAAAACGAATCAAAAAATAATGGATGGTGTTAAATAATGCGGACTCATTCATCTCCACGCGCGGAAAGTTAAATCAGATTGTAAAATATGGCACTGAAATATGGACGGTGGTAAAAGTGCTGCCGAGAACAGCCACACGGTTCCAAGTAGAGGGCATATAATGTCAGTTTTTAATTTTTCCTTTTTGTTAAAATTTGTTGTAAAAAATAATTCAATCTGACAATTCTACAATATAGTCATAATTATTTGCAGAAATCAAATTTAATTCTATTGATAAAACTATGTACCAATTTTTTTTTATAAATTGTTTAATTTTGAAATTGTGTTAATAAAATTATTTATTTTAAAATAGCCTCATGTTTAAAAATTAAAAATGTATTAAAAATAATAATAAAAATTTGTATAATATAAAATAGAATTAGATTAATATTACTGATGTTAAATTGTCTGCATTGATAAAAATGCATTGTTTACACTTAATTTTTGAAAAAAAATTATTAGAAAAAGAGAAATTGCTGGATAAAACGGCACCATCACTAGCAAGAAATTAAATGTTTTACAACATTTTTAGATTGGCAATTAAATAAATTAATTATAAAATTTGTATTATAGTGACGAAAATATTTTCAGTTGACTGTTGACTTCAAGTCAAATGTGGAGAGAATCAGCAAAATCCCGGTTCGCAGTTCTCTACTGGAGAGAGTGAAATATTTTGAACGCTCGCCAGCTAATGGTGTAGCATCTGTCAGGGGAACTCGTGAATTATGGCCATTATCCCCTAATAAAAAGTGCAGCCGCTTCCAATGCACGACGTGTACATTGTACAAGAAAGTCTGTTCTCGATCCGGGTACTCACCAAGCAGCTCCGGCGTCTGCGGGGTCAAGGGCTTGTTTTCCTTATTGGCGTCTTCAATCGCACCCCGGCTGTTCTCTCTTGATTACTTTCGCCGCGCCGAGAAGGGCAGGTCTGGGCAGGTCAATGTCTGCAACACAAATGCACATCACGTATTACTTCATGCACTTCTACCGCTAGCCGATAATTACAAAACTTGGAAAACATGATGTGGTTCGTAACAGCCTTTTGTTCAAGGACGAACGGATCAACTTTCTACAGTTGAACTTGCGGAAGGCAAGCAACTTTCATTCTTTCAATTATCAGTTAATTAGATCAAATCATCAAATGGTATTCTCAAGTTATTCCGATTGAAATATTATTGCAAGTCAGATACTTCCACTTGAAATATTCAATTCCACTTAATAATTTTATTAATAAAGTTGAATTGAAATAAGAATTGTGAAGCATAATTAAAGGAATAATTTATTGCAAACAACTTAATAAACTTTACATAAAAAATAAATAAGCTTCCATTAAACCAAATAAAGTATCAAAAATCACAATTTGCCTGTTCCTGTCTTATGTTTTTATCCTTTTTTTCAGTTCAAGTCTGTGAATATATTATAATATTTTAAAATTACAATTTCAATGTATTATACCCTTAAAGCTTTTGGTAGCTCTTTACCTCATTAAATCTATTTTTATATTTGTATTTAACAAATAATTTGAGCTATAAAATTTAGAGTTTTCATTTTTGTTTATCAAAATTTCTAAATATTCCTTAAAATTTCAACCATTTCTTTTTTTCTTAAGTATCACATCTACAAAATTCCATCAGTAGGCGACAATTTACATTAGCTTATCAGATCGTAAAGAGTTGAGCAAAAAAGTTTCGCTTTCAATACGGCTGTGGTGTGTGCGGAAAAGCGGCTCCTCTGGCAATTCCATTAGGCGCCCGGCAATATAATTACAAATGCGCGCGTGCATCGAGATGAGCCGCGCAGGCCGCAGGAATTCAACTTTATTGCCCGAACGGGCGCTGCCGCCGCGGCGCGTACTAAAAGTCTCATCTTTAGAAGCCATTAAGACCGCTCGCGTGCAATTTATTAGACAATTAAAATGAAATCGAATGACTTGCAAAAACATTTTTTGCCACGCGGCCCGTGTAATTGCGCGGCGAGACGTCATTAGGAGGCAATTAAGCGATTAAAATTACCGCTCGCTCTGCTGAAATGATGGAGTCATTTTCTTTCATTAGTTCTGCAGAGAGTAAAACCGTAGTAGAAATAGAGAGGGGACTGTGAATTATGTCACTTGCGACGGTCACAAAGGCAACAAATAATGTCATAATATCAATTTGCTTATTTTTAACTTTTAACCGCGTTTTATTTATAAATATCTTCTCCCCTTTTATATTAATAATCTGGAATTGCGCTTCTTTATGGTCAAGGTAAAAAAATTCAATTTTAATTTGAAGAAACTGAAAGCTTGGTAAAATAAATAGTTTTATTGCTTTAATTTATATGAAAATTATAAAAAAAATGGCAAAATTTGAATTTTTTAAAGACAGAAAACACTTAAAAAATATTATTAAAATCCACTTGGTATAGATAAAGCCATTTAAAAAATTTCAATTTCTTTATATTTGGAAGATAAAATGAGCATATCTTGCAAATTTTTATACTCTGTAATTTTTCATCAGGACAAATGGATCCACTCTATGAAAAATGTTGTGCGGAATTCCAGACAGCCATCAACTCCGTCAGCCGCATGAACTGTCGTGTATTTTACGAGATCATTCACCTAGAGAAATATAGCTAGCCACAAAAGCACTCAAGTGCTGCGAAATAATAAAATATAAAATCGACATTTCTTGCAGCGACAGATAGAGAGTCGGATGCACAAGGAAAAATAAGGTAAATAAGTTGTTCCGGCCATTTTCCTAGCAACTTTCTTTTTTTTTTGCCCCGGATCAAAAGGACGTGGAAAAGCCGACGGAGCGTTATTGCCCAACGCCCACCCGACGTCTGGACGCGTTTAATGAAACAACAATGTTTGTTACTCACCGGTCGAAAAACGAGAATTGCACGGCCAGGGGAGCGGAGCGGCGGCGCTCGTGCCAAATTGACAGTCGCCTCGCTCGTTCTGCACGCGGCTGACGAAAAGTGGGGAAGAGAAAAGAAAGAGAGAGAGAGGCGAACTGTCGGGATTAGGGTGCCGCTGATTCGCCTCTTCTGCCCATGTGCTGCCAGGCAGAGCAAACTTTTGTTCTCTTGGCCTAGTCTTGATGAAATTTATTCAATTACAAAGTGGAACTGGTTTTTGTGCGCCGAATCAAATTGCTCTTTTACTTGATGGGAATGAATGCAGCTGGAATCTTATTTAAATTAATTGTTTTTAACAATTAAATGTAATTAATATTTTTTTTATAACGAAAAAGTAAGCTTGTTGTTTAATTTTTGGACATTGAAAAATATTAATAGTAATTTTATTACGTCTTTATACTTGTTTTCAAATATTTACATGTTGTTATTGTTCTTTTCTTATTTTAAAAACAAAACCTGTTACACCTTTTGATAAAACGTTAACACCAGATTTTAAATATATATTAAATTTTGTTTTCATGAGTCGTGATTTAAATTCATATTTGAAAGACACGTCCATGAGTTGCAGCTGTTGAAATAAACAAGGAAAAATAGCAGGTATTGATTATTACTCTTTTTTTTTAATAACTTAATTTTCCTTCTACATCTCATTTGGAAAGTAAATTACTTTTTTAATTAAAAATAGTTACTAGAAGCAAAATATGATAATAAATAAATAAATAATGCAAAAAAGTATTCAATTCCATGGAGTAATTAAATATAAATTTTTTTAACACACATTAAGGGCATTTTGCAATGTGTCTGGCACAAAGTCTCGTTATCTATAGAAGAACATCATTATTTTTCAATATATTCATCGCGGAGCAGCAAGTAACGATTCGAGTCATTTGCTGCTTGCAACTGTTTCACGTCTTGCCGCTGTCTGCCCATCTAACGACATCATTCGAGTGGCAGTTAAACCGGCGCGCGCGATACAAGTTGTGCCGCCTGCATCCTTGGCCGGTTATGCAATGCGCCGAGCAGCTGTGCTTTGCCCGCTGCATACTCGCATCAAGTGGCTGCGCTTCGAGAAAATATGAGCCGCGGGGAGAAAAGCGCAATTTCACCTTAATTACGCGGTTGCGAGGCGCGCGTTCAACCGAGGCTCTAAATCAATAAGCTGTTTTCCTCCCTATCGCCGACTTGCATTGCCGAGTAAATAAAACAAGTCGTATGTTTATGCCATTGAGCCACTTGGCAATGGCACCCTGAGAGAGGCGAATTGCTCTCCATCTACTAATTGCAGCTCGGCTTTTTCTATTCAACAGATTAACAATAAGAGCAGAATAGGAGCTAATTGAATATTCTTGGAAGGTGCGCGTTGCAATATGCAGATCGTGGACGGATTTGCATGGAAGGGCACCGCGTGCTGCGAGCAAGAAAAAGGAGGGAAATTGCTTATAAAGTGAATGGGCCGCTTGAACGAGCCAGATCTGAAACTGGATTCTGTATTATTCCAATGCTTTTAGTAAAATTTATTCAGCATTGGAAAATGCACAGCCTGGTAAATATTTACATCGTCATTTTTTAAATAATGCTTGAAACTTGCTTTTGAAAATGAATTAATGTAATCAATTTAAATTATGTAATGCCCATGCCACTATATAATTAAAATGCTTAAAAAATATAATAAATAGTTAAAATAATTTAAAGACTTTAACACTATTCAATGAAATTGTAATTTTCATCCAAATGATTTAACTTGTTGTATCATTAATAGCGATTAATAAGTTAAAACCTTAAAATCTTTAATGTAATTTAATATAATTTGGTTAGTGAGGTACTTTGAGAATTATAAGTGAAACTCATAATGATATATTTGAGAAACTTTCAAGGATTAATTATAATTTAAGAAATGGTTAGTTTTTTTATATAAATATACAAATATTTAACTTCAATAACTGTATTCAATTAAATTCGCACACATGAAAAAATATTTCATGCCTTTTGACCTTATCAACAATGCAAAACTTTCATTGTTGCATTGGGTTACCATTGGTCAAAAGGCCTGAAATATTTCTACTGCTAAAAAATTGCCCGATCAATTTTGCTCAAAATTTGATAGTCTGCATAAAAAAAAATACAGTCTGAAAGTTATGGCGAAGAGAAATGGGGCTTGCTTGACCTATTTTGACCCATTGAAATCATATAAAGTACCAGATTTGACTTCAGAGTACAACAATAGGTAACAAGCAAACGATGCACTGATTTAACTATATCATAAGCTCCTCCTTAAAATACCTGGAATCTTACAAAATTAATGCTCTCAGAATGAGCTAGTAATGGTACTTATAATTTTGAACGCTGCAGATTGAAGCTTATAAAGACTATTCAATGTATTTTTGCATTACACTCCACTTAGAAAGCAAAATGTTTGCAGCACTCGAGTTACAAAAGGCGTGCTTTTATTACAGATCTCCTTTCGTTCATTCATTCCACCCTCTCGCACTGGAGCAGGCCAACTTTTTGACGACTTTGGTTGCACCTGCATGCCATTCTGCGGCGTGATTTTCCACAATTCCGTCTTCGGAAATCGCAAAGTGATCCCACCCCGTCGCTTTCCGCCTCAACGATATCCTAATTCTCATCATAATGGCCGCCATAAAATTTATTTTACGTTGGGGGCCATAAAGTTTTATCATTTATCATGGTGTACATAAAAGGATACTAAAAAGCGGTGAATTTAGTTTCTCGTATTTTTTCCTTCCTTCTCTTTCTCCGCCTCGCCGACGATGGATCCATCGAGGAGCTGTAAAATATCAGCGTCACTCACGCTGCGAGAGATAAATGGTGGCGGCCGAGCGAGCCACTAAATCATCGGGTTGTAAAAAATTTGCGACTTTGTGCAATTCAAGCGTGGGTCGTCTCCAGAAAAATGCAATTAGAACGAATCTTTTTGCATTCATTTGCCATTAGGCAGTTTGTTGTTATAATTAGCAAAGTGGCCGACGGCGAGAGGAAACGACAGGGTGACGAGTTGGAAAGCAAACATTTCGCGGTTCCT